TAGTATGTATGAATATAGGCAATATTCAACATTTGAATATATTTAAATGTCAAGCTGAAATTTATTTTTTCTTAGTTTCATAATTAATTATCTATGTATGTWTGAGAAGTTTCTTTTAAGATATGCTGGTTCATTAACTTAACACGTTAAGTAATTAATTTTCAACATAATAAAATAATGTAGATATATAACGAATATAGGTAGGTACGTCTATTATTTTATGCTCTAATAGTAAATTTTTATATTATGTTCTAGGTTAATATAATATAGTCTCATATTTATTCAATTATAATATAATATTATGCGAAATCCTAAAACTTGAATCAAAAGTTTAAAGCCATCAATTAAAATTATTATGACAATAACGCACCAATAACATTTTGCGGATTTATATGTATGATAATATTAAATATTAAAATATGATATTTGTTATTATTTTCTCGGAAAAAAAAATGATGTGTATAACTTGCTACACAAGTTGATATTTTTAAAATATAAACATTTATCATATCTATTTATAATAGTGGTTTTGAATTATTTAACTAGTTTAAGATTATTTGAAGAAAACGAAAAGTAAAAAAAAAGGTAGATACCTACAGTATTTTCGAGAATATTCTGTCTTTGAGTAACTCACTATAATGTATGTGTAAGATTTAAACTTGATGATAAATCATTGTGTGTACGTCATAGTGTAAAACTGTTATTATAGCGAAGACAGATTGTCAACCTATAATGTTACTAAGTTTTTTATATGATATAAATACATTGCTATTAAAGACGTAGTTTATTTTACTAGTATAGTACTCGCAATCCAGTAGGTAGGAATATTATTTTTCGAAAATATTGCTTTTAAAATCGTGATCATGTGTAGAAAATATAATAATACATGTTAAAAGTTATAAGAACTTAGGAATAATAATTTTTAATTGCAGCAAAATAACTAAACTCGTTATTCTTAATTTAAATATTTAATTTAAACTAATTTTAAACTAAATAAAAATGTCTATAAAAAAACTGTGTTTTTATATTTTTTAGATTTTTTGGTTTTACAGTATGATCTACCTATTTATTATGAACCTTGAATTACATTTTTAATCCTCAACTATAAAAAAATAACATTTTAGATTCTGGGCAGAGCGATGAATATATTGATAGCAGACAATATGGCGTTTTTTTTTTTTATTAATTTTGAGTATGATTCATGATAAATAGTTGAAATAATGCTTCGATTTTAAACTTCAGTATCTTTTCTGGTGTGAAAATGAATATTTCTTGGAGATAAGAAAATATTTCCAGTTAGTTTTTTTTCTTTTATTAGATGTAATCAATAAAAAAATGTTTTGCTATGTTAAACATCTTGAAAATCTTATCAGAAGAAGTTATCCTAGTGATCTAAAAATACTAACGATACGAAGACATGATTTTTTTTTTTTTTAGATATCTAAAGGTAAAACTTTGACAAATAATACATAGTCATTTTGTTTGGCAAACATTTTAATTTTAACATTTGTTTTTTTTTCTTTCTTGAAGTAGTTATAGCCTTAAGGTTTTTTAGTTATTTCTCTTCTTTAACATTTTATAAAATGTAGATACTGATGTTACTGTGTTATGTTTTTAAACAGTCAATAATAGTATAATACTAAAAAACTCTCTTTGCTGAGAATTGTTTTTCATTTACAATGATATTATATATAATTTAATTCAAATTTAACACATCTATTATAAACTGCAGTGATCACTTGCCCATATTTTATTAAATTTTAAATAACAAAATAATTCGAAAATCTTCATAATTTTGAAAAATGTTATCAACATTTTGAGCTTCAAATGTTTATAAGCATTTGCTTTGATTAAAACAATCCTGCTTATGTGTCTTTAATGTTTGAAATACGTCATTACGTTATTTATAACTCTAAAATACTTTTTTCCATAACCATAATAACAATTCTAATTTTAAATTCTTTCAAATTAACATAAATTAAAAAAATTTTACACCTACGTAAAAATGTAGAAATTATAAGGAAATTAATTAATAACAGTAAAAAAGAAAAGAAAAGAAAAACAGAATATAAAAAAATAAATTTATTGGAAATTGAAAATTGAAAATATAAACGTTTGATAAATTATTAAAGTGTTATTTAAGAAATGAAATAATTTAATCGATAATCTCAATAGATATATATATTTTCAAGTCTGTTTATTATTAACACAATTGAATGAATTAAAAAATAAATTATTTTTATTTAATGTTGTGTCAACTCATAAAAATGGAGATGTGTAACAATCAAATATTATTTATTATATTTAATTTTTTTGTGGTTTTAATTTGATATTTATATCTTATATTTTTTGAGAAGATACAAAATGTAATTTCAAAAAATATAAATGTTCACTTTTTTATAATCGAAATAACTATTGTAATGTTGAGTACGTATTATGGTTCTACTAAGATATACACACACGCACACATACACATCATAATATTATTGAAGTGTTGGCATGTGACGTTGTATTAATACGAAATATACTAGCGAAGTTATGACATGCTWTACAGATTTAAAATTGACACTCGATCTAGACACGAGTATATAATAACGGAAGTAGTGTAAAATAGGTGTTTGAAGAGTATAAACGAGTTAAATAGATAGTTAGTGATTTATCGACACATTAAATGTTTACCCGAGATCGAATGGTATTGTTTTCGAATATTTTCACCTTTACATTGTTCTTAAAATGTAATCCGAGAAGTTTACGGGTCGTCCCATTCTGAGCAAATGAAATAATCTGATATATTTGTCAACGTAATCCAATTACAGGGGCTGATAGATATGAGTTCCTTTGATCGGTGACGGAGATTATATRCCTATGCATAATGTGTAACGCATACACCCCCAGAGAAACGTTACGGCATTAAAAATAAGCTGACAAAATGAAAAAGAAAATAATTCCTTACGCGTAGTTTTACGAAAATTATAATTTCAGTGTTGAAAATTGTGTTACAACTTATGATACTAGACCTTATCATTATGATTATATGTTTTTTTTTACCGCGGAACATGGTTTTCGTCTCTATATATTATGAAAAAGAAATATCGCTTCTTGTTTATAGGTCAAAATAAATATAGGATCTCGTCGATATGCTGACATCAGAAGTGGTCCTAATGATGTAAATGAAAAGTGGAAGATACAATTTCAGCGAATGAGAGAAATACATGAGAACTATATAAATATGTGGAAAAAAATGCTTACCAAAGGTACTTGCTGAACTGGTGGCAGACCGGAACCGGACGGGGATGGTTGATCGTCGTGCCTGCAAACAGTGGTCATGTCGCTGGGTTCGCTTTGCATGGAAAGGTTGTCATCGCTCTCGGTGGGTGGTGGGGACGGGGTACGGCTTTCAGCCGGTACCGGCGTCCGGCATCGGCTCAACGGCCGCAGGTCTTCCGGTTCCATGGGCTCGTCGTCCCGGTCGGCAGGAACCAACTCAACGCGATCGCCGACGGTATCGTCATCGCCGTCACTGGGGCGAGCCATGTCGGCCAACCCCTTGACCTTAAGGCTCTCGGCCGTCTTCAGCAAGGTGGTCAGCTGTCTGTGGTCTACGTTCACCTCGCCCCGGTACATAAACTCGACCAGGTCACGGAGTTCGGAGAACTGAACGTCTTTGAGCACCACGATCGGGTGGCGGGTTGGATGGTCAAGGAACAATGCCTTGAAGTACGCGCTGCACGCGGATAACACGACCTTGTGGGCGCGGATCAGGCGGCCTTCTTCCGAACAGGCGAGCGTCACGTCCACGAGGGACTCTTCTTGGAGCAGTTGACTGAATACGCCCAGCAGGTTGTTCTGATGATTGTTCCACCGGAGACAGTAGTGCTCGCTTCCCATGTCTGAGACAGCCTATAACGAACAAAAGCATCCGTTAAGTAAACAATACACAATATATTATAGTATATATTATGTTATATGGGTGCTATATTATAGGAATAATATATATACATTATACGCCCTACACGCACACGCTCGCTTTGTGCACGTATATACTTTTCTGAATTTCCCTCGGGAACGACGTCATCCAGGACGACCCACGAGACTTTCGGTTCGAACATACCATCGAATCGAACTATATATAGGTACACTTTACATATCATATTAAGTGGATTTTAAACACAATGCGCATACATAATATCCGTGAGGTCGCACAATAAAAATAAATACATAAAGATTTAAATATAAATTATATTATATTTATAATAATAACAACATTTAAATATATAACAAGTTTTGGTAAGATTTTTAAAAATATATTTTTTTACATTAAATACGACGAGTCAGTTAGACCTGCTCGTGAAATTAAATATGTGATTACGACTTCATAAAGACAATGTATTATATTATAAGGACTAAAATCATAATATGAGATCATCATTATTAAGCTTGAATTACTTAAGTGTCCCGGGCGGTGGAYATTATTATTCATGTTTTATTGTTTTCGATTTATGTATGGTATATTTCATGTTTTCTCTTCACTGCCTATATCACCATTAAAATTCTTATTTGCATTTACACTATAGATCTATTGCACACTGTGAAATCAAACAACCTAGAGCTAGCTTAATGTGTGAATAAATTATAAATTATAAATGTTATAACATTATGATATTGCGGGCACAGCAGCTCAATGATTCTCCAATATAGCAGTTGACTTAATGATAGTCAAAATTCATTATCAAATATCTAACACAAAGTATAGGTACATTACATATTCTGTCGCTCTGGTCAAAAATCATTTATTTGAATCTATAATAATACTTAATTAAACCCACCGAAAAGTCAATATTAATGAATTTTTGATAAGTAGAAAAACTATGGTGGTACTTTAGATTATTATACAAGTAAAGTATAAATGACACATAATCTATACTACTTTAATTACTATACATTATTATAGACAATACCAATTAGTATTTAAACAACACATTTGAAAACTAATTCATAGTTTTAAATGTGGATATATACAATTGTATAAACAAATTTTATTTTGGATTCAATCATTTCCCATTGATGTGGTTGCAGACATAACGAATCAAAAATCTTAACACTCGTGTTACGGGAAAAACATTGATGAGACTTTTTAAAACTCAACGTAAAAATGAAAAGTAAAATGTTGATTGTAAGGTATCACTGTTATTGATTATTATTTATGCAATTTATTTTAATCATACATTAAAAAATGAATAAAACTTAATTCGAATAATACTTAGTTACCGACTAATAATATTATTTATTGAGCATAAACCCACCAACAACGTTAAAAACCAGATTTGTAGTTTATGTTTATCACATATGTCGTAGAGACATGTAGTACCTATATCATTGAAAAATAAATAAGTATTTAACGGATTAAAAAATGTTTAATACAGTATTCGACAATCAATTGGTAATTTGATCGTTTCTACTGTATGAAGATAATTACGAATCGATAATCGTAAAAACCACACACTAATAAGTACTTTATCACTGAACTCGACCTATAGTCATTATTAAACAGTTACTATTACGACATAGTGAAATATTTATTTACTTAAATCTCATTAATAAAATACTATTAATAGATAATTTATGAAGTTAAAAATATAGATATAGACTATATACAGAATGCTTCAAATATTGTTTAATAATTCATGTACAATTCAATAGGTACATAATGTTAATGTCTATTATATATTTGTAAACATTATTACATATTTGTGTAATTTAAAATTAACAACTCAATACAAAAATAAATAAGTCATAATTTTTTTTTAWAATAATAATAAATAATTGGAATAATATACATTGTAGGGTAGATATTGACGATTTCTATATTTAAGTATTTAAAATAACGATTTTAGTAGAATGGATATAACATTCATAAGTTTACCATACACAATAGTCTTTCTCAAGTTCACACTAATATTAGCTTAAATTTAATTTTAAAACAAATTAATGTTCATTCGGTAATATCGATTTTTCGTAAACATTTTTTTTTAGGTTTAATACTATTCTGCTGTGATAAATAAGTAAAAAATAACTATTTCATGTAGCTATTAATGAATTATTATAAACCAAAAATTTTAATATAATTCAGTTATTCAGAATAAATTACTATAAAATTATGTGTGAAGAGAAACTCAGCTTATATAATCAGATTAAATTTTAGTCAATTCCGTTGATTTTTGTGATATATATTCATCGTCTTATCGACATCTCTATAATTATTGAGCGAAACTAGTAATGACTTAATGAGGATGCAACCAAGGAAACATATTATCTAATTTTATTATAAAATATTATGCTGTAACTAATCACAAATTTGTGTGTATAATATATATGATAAGTGATTTTTATTCATTATAAATTTTAATATTACGTATAATATTTTATGCTTTTATAGTGTGATTTATTTTAATGTTTAAAAATATAAGTATTAGAAAGTGATCTTTTAAATTGGACCTAGTCGTAAACAATAGAGTATACATCCCATGGAATACGGTTTGTGCACAAACCAGTGAAAACATGGATTAGTTGGTTAATGGGAGAGTTTATTCTCTTCAACAAGTATTGATGTTTAATTTTCGATAAAACATTATCAGTAAATTAATAATCAATATTAACAAATTTTTTTTCATTATTATTGATCCACCTGGTTATGGTCATACTTAAGGCACAGTAATATTTGGTACAGTAACTACAGTTGAAAGTTTATTTTTAAATGTCCCCCTTCTCTTAAATTTAATGTAAACTTCTCCTCCAATCATCCTATATGAAATAGCGGTATGTACCTACTAACTCATTATTACAAACACCAAATTTATCCGTTATTTATTAAGCATATAAGTATATTTAAGTATATATATATATATATTTAAATAAGTATAAATATAAACAGTCTGTGATATTTTGTAAGAACATAAAATATGTTATTAAAATAATTACGTGTTTTATTTCTGCATATATTTCATAAAAAAAGCATACTGAATAAAAAAAAATTAAATATAAATATTATTCCATAATAATTTTCTTAATCATATCTAGATTCTAGTGTACTTATATTTATATATTATGTGTAAGGAATAGGGTTTAGGTCTAAAACCCAAATGTTGTACGATTTTTTTAGATTTTGCATAAAATTGATTTAACTATATTAATAATCATTTATCAGGTTTACACGTAAATATTACGAGTGTCTATGTATATGGATACGTCTTAAATAGCCCGCTATAGACATAATATAGGTAGGTACAAAGCATCTGTAGAATAAACAAATTTTGAAATGTATACCTAACCAACAAACAGTTAACATGGTTGATTTAAACTTTGAACTTTAAAATGTTTGATTTTAATTTTTTTCAAATTCTATATTATATTTAGTAAATAATAACTTTCAGATGTACTTATAAATGTATTCAAAATATTTCAAACAAAAATTTCTAATGTTGAATCAATTTACTCGTTACCAATTAACTTAATTACATCTCTTAAACTCTGTTTTGCCGATATCTTATTCATTATCCTCAACTGCAAAACATTAGTAAATATTTTCAAAAATATGAGCCATAGTAAAAACATTTTTAATTATGATTAAAATAATATATATTTTGTATCATTAAAGATTTTTAGAAGAATCTATATTCTACAGTATTGAAATACAGTATAACACATTTAGTACGTGTACTAAACATTTGTAAGACTAAAATATGAAAATTGTATTGAAAATGTTTTAAAAAAATAAACTGAATTTTTCACATTATCTTAAGTATACATTCTTTACTATTAATCTATTTACTATGAGTAGCGATTTTCAAATTATGGGTTATGACTCGTGACCCACAAGTGGGTACAGTATAACTTCATAATTTAATTTTTTTTATTAATTAGAAATATATTATGATTTGTAATGAAGTTGCACTACTATTTTACCTAAAGTATTTTTTTTATTAATATACATTTTTTTTAAACGTGATAGGTAATTCGTGTGGGTTATAAAAATTGAATAAACTAAACATTTTGGTCATGTCAAAAAGTTTGTGAACCACTAAGACTGWAAGTATTCTACAGGTTCGCGACTCCTTTCTACTCAAACTCAATCAGATGACTTATAACTATTTTGTAACCTTGACTTTCCATCGTTTGACAGTATTATAATATACACAAGTTTAAAGCACTTATTTTTTTTTTTAAATTGTAAATGAGTAAAATCGTTGATCAAATATGAAATAAGTAATTTAGCGCAAATTGGTCTATAATAGGACACAGAATGATATTATATTAATAGTTTTTACTACTTTGTAGCTWATATTTAAGTGATTGTTTTTTGTCTTGAACTCAGTGTCGATTGCAGTGTTATGGTGGAAAAATTATGATATTTTACTCAAATTTTAGATTCGATGCACACGAATGAGCTATTACACTTTCTTATACATAAAAGTTTTTCTTGAAAAGAATWTTTTTATGGCAGTACAATTTAGACTTATCTTTAATTTAGAAAATTTAGTATACCCACATAGATTAKATATTTATAGGCCCCCCGAATAATTGTAAAAATTTGCCGATTCTATAATCAAGAAATTGAGAAACCTCGCAAAACATGAAAAGAAAACATTAATTTTTATTTAATATCAATTATTTCTAAATAAACTTTTTTCGGTACGAAATAAATTAAATGTAATGTGATAAAACATTGACGATTAAAGTATCATCAGGGATGTATGGTATTTCTAACTATATCCATTGTAATATTTTTAAAGCTATTATTACCATTTATTCATCATCTATAACATAAATATTATCATTGAGTAATAAAGTTTATAAATTTTCATAAACTGGCGTTATGTGTATGCAATTTAAAGACGTGCATGTCCATAACAAATAAAAATATATACCTACTTAAATATTATATCCGTGTATCTTATTGTATTTTATTCAATTGAAAGATAAACAATCTCGAATACAAATTAAATACGAGAAAATATTTTTCAAATATGTTTTGGTAATGTATATGCATAAGAAACATTTTTTTTGATAACATTAATTTTATTTTTGTGATAAGAAGATGAAAGTTTGAAAGCGTCTGATAAAAGATTACATGTAAATACATATTTTTGCTTTAAATGAGCACCATTTAGCACAGTCGGTGGTTAACATATATATATATATATATATATATTTACGCACATTGGCCGAATAGCAATTTTGTTATCGAGTATCGACATTGTACGCCAATATATATATATATATATGAATGTGCGTCATCCATGGATCACAGTGTATAGAAATAAACTACAAATATCAAATAAGATTTTAAAAATCACTTAGTTATACGCACTGTGTGTTAGAAGTTATCGTCCTTCGCGAAATTCCTTTTCGTAACACCATTAGTAACGGCTAATAAAATATCACGGAAGTTTGTTTGTAAAGGTATATAACACGATTTCGTTTGCACTTTGGCTAATTCGACACACCGAGCATGCACACGACAAAATAAATAATAATATAATAATTAATAAGCTTATCCGCAACGCCTTTTGCGAATTGCACGTTCAAAAGACAACAACAACAACAACAACAAATTATTATATAAAATACAAAATAAGACTTTAATAAAAAAAATATTAAAAAATGTTTTTGTATTTTGAATTCTTATATTTTTCTTTTGTTTTTTTTCCTTTAATATACCTTAGCTATATGAATTCATTTTGGCGCCTGGAGTGTGCGTGTAACACGGCGGCACTCGATAGAGAGGACACACGGAACGATAAAAAAATTTTTGTTATTATTATAATTATTTTTCTTTTTCACAAACCGGTATAACACGTCGCCTGCGTATGACGAGAGCACTAATCGCGTCGTTCGCGAATATTTCTGTTCGCGCGCGTATGTCGTGCGTGTGTGTGTACATGGATTTGTGTGCATGTGTATTATGAGTGTGTGTGTGTTGTGTTAAGTGTAAGTGTATTTGTATAAGTTTGGTATGTGTATTTTTATGAGTATGTGTGTGTATGTGAGTGTGTGTGTGTGTGTGTGCGTTATCACGCGCTTTCGATGGGAGTTCAACCGGCCTCCGATGACTTTGCCGGTCGACTGATCGAGTGACTGTGAGCGCTGGCGTACACCGCACTGGTGCCGTAGCGCGCGGCGCCAAAAAACGAAACGACCGGGCGGAATAGGACGCGCGCGCAAAAACGTCGCGCCGGCGTTGCGCCCGAACTGACAACGTCGCTTAGACGCCGGCTCCCTCCACCCCCCTCACGTAATCAGCGTAGGCCGGTCGACGCGGGCCCTGGGTCTAGGTCGGTGAGGAGTGGAGAAGGTGGGTACCCGCGAATATCGCGACCGGCGGCGTTGGCGGTGGAGTACCCCGATTGGCGTGCACGTGTATGTGAGGGGTGCGCGGGGGTCTCGAGTGGGTGAGAGGGGGCACTAGACGAACCTTCGACGCGGCGGCGAGGACGCTGCCCCGGCTTCCGCACCTACTTTCCCAACCGACCCATCCCGTGACGCAAAGCCGCCGCCGTACGTTCACCTCCCACCACGACCATATAGCCGCCACGGCTACGCGTCACCACCTCACCGCATCGTCGATGGGCGTCGCGCCGCTGCCACCGCCACCGCTGCCGAAAACCGGTCGCCTTGGAAATTCGCGTATTTCGCGATTTTTTTTTTGTACGCGCGTGCAGGTGATATTCGGCCGATCGCCTCGCATTGCGTAACGCGTCATCAAACGTTCGCGAATTTGTTTCGAGCGCGCTCACATATATATAAATAAATGTGAATATATTATTATTTCTATTATAAATGCCTCGTGTTTATTTAACATAATGTATTATATGTATTTTATCGTCAACGGATAGGTTACGATCGTTCCCATTGGCCGTCCGATCGAATTGCCGTTTGCGGATTATACACATATATTATTATAATGATATTCATACACACACGTACATCCGTGTTTAGGACCGTCACCGCCAATTCCTTTCACGACGATAGTTTTTATTTTTTTTTTAAGATTTCGGTCCGATGCTTGACGAGCCTCAAACACGTTTATGACTACGTTTTGTATGAAAGTCTACGTACCTATATAATTTTCTGATAAAATTAATTTTTCGATTCGTATATATATATTTAATTTATTAGCTACTTACAATAATAAAGTATAAACTATAAGTACTAAAGTACCTGCTATAACTGGCGACTGCACTGACCAAACATAGCTATATAGGTAACTGAGATTTTTTAATCTCGCGATTGATGTTTTATTTTATATTTTTTATTGGGTGAACGTAAACGATTCGATTGCGTTTAGGTGAACTTTTCGGAATCACCATGCTTATAAACATAGTAAAATAAGGTTACCAACACGCAAAAAATGCAAATCGTTTAAGGCCACTGAACTGCCTTGAATCATTAAATTGATTTCAGCAAAACATGTCTGTAYCGGGAAAAGTTTAATACTTTAATACCTTTTGAAGAGAAGTATTTCTAAAAGCTTATTAGTTAAATTTTATTATAATTAGGTATATAGATTTCATGTAATTCCATAAATATTTGAATACATAATTTATTCGGTAGTTGTTAAATTTGGCGTCTTTCGAATATTTCAATAATACTTCACATAATTTCATTTCAGGCGTTTCTATAACTATTAGCGATGCGCTATTTTTTTTYCGATTTATTATTTCTGTATTTTCTGTTGTTTTCCCAAATTTATAGCTACATAGAAATATATTTCCGTTTTATTTTACTTTTGTTATTTTTTGAACAAACAAGGTCTTTAATTCTAATTGGTCAAAAATAGTAAGTATAGTTAATACTCTACATCGTGTTTGTAATGAATGCTTATAAATTGCATATAATATTATACTATAGGTACCTACTCAAGATATATGTGCAATAGGTTCTAGAAGAATTTTATGATTAATAATCTACAATTTTGCACCTTCGAGGCCATATTATTAAAAAATTGAATTATTTTTATGAAAGAAAAAAATATTACAAATATGTCTGTTGATATAATAAATATATATATATATACGTATGTGTATGTGTATACGCTATATACAGTATAGACTCTCCCAATATTTTTTAATTAATTTTAAATAAATTATGTATAAATTATAATACAT